TGATCGAGGCCCCTCAGCAACTATCGGATTTGTTGTCTTTCGGCTCCCGCAAGTGAGGCCTTGCTTCTAAGGGTGGATCCGTTCGGATTCCGTATATGTAAGGCTCGTGCAGCGCAGGTTCATGAAGGCTTGCAGGCTTGTTCCCTCAACCCTCAACTCGAAACCGTAAACCCTTAACCCTCAACTCTAAACTCTAAACTACCCTAAACTCTAAACCCTGAACCCTAAACTGTAAACCCTAAGCTCTAAACCCCGAACCCTAAACTCTAAACCCGGACCCCCTAAGTTGGAATTGCTTCCACGCCCCAGGCCTCCCTCCAAGAAGCAGTACACTAACCCGCAAAACAACAACTCTCGCGCCGCAACCCCAAGCTATGAACAACGGTGCCTGGGTTCAGGGTTTAGGGTTCAGGGTTTAGGGTTCAGGGCGTAGGGTTCAGGGTTCAGGGTTCAGGGTTTAGGGTTCAGGGTTTAGGGTTCAGGGTTTAGGGTTCAGGGTTTAGGGTTTAGGGTTCAGAGGTTTGGGCTTAGGCTTTAGAGGTGCCTTATTGTGAGCCCCTGGTATAACTCCTATGATACTTTCCATAATGCCATTGCATTTCAAGCCCGGGTAAAAACCAAAGACTTTAGAGCTAGAGGTCAAGACTCTCTCCGAGAGCCTTGGCGGCTTGAGTGCGACGAAACTCGCGGCTTTGCAAGCAATGATACCAGGGCTTCTTCACTTAGGGTTCGGGTTCAACTTTCCAGACCTTCCCACCACCCTTGATTAAGGGAGTACACCCTAAACTATAGTAGGATAGGGTGTCCTTGGTTAAGGAATATGCCTTAAATTAGAATAGAATCCCTAGTATGAAATTAGGGTTGATACTTAAATTAGAGTAGGATCCCTCGTATGAAATTAGAGTCTATTCCTTACTGTAAGGGACTTTGGAAGGTCCGTGCTTCTCATGCTCCCATGCGAACGAACGTGTTGTTGGCTGGTCTCACTGCATATGGTTTAGGGTTTAGGGGTTTTGTGGTTTAGGGGTTTAGGGGCTTTGTGGTTTAGGGTCTAGGGGTTTTGTGGTTTAGGGTTTAGGGTTTAGGGTTCGCGTGTGTTCTCCTTGGGTCGTCGGGAGCTCAGTCTTGCTCATTGGATTCCAAGAGGGTGCATACACACTACTATTGTGGAACTAGATCCCCCAAAACCATGATAAAAATGGTCTTTTGTGAGTTGATTCCATAATTGTAGTACGGTTGGACCGTCTGGGATTGGAAAAATGCGAACCCACGGGCCAGGAATTGGACTGTTGGCTGCCGTGGGCCCTTGCTTGCATGTTCGGCTCCAGAACGTATGGCTTCCTGTCGTAGTCACACGTCCGCCGGGTCTGCAACCAGTGCGGCCACAGTTACCTCTCAAGCATGAGTGATCTTCGCACAAGGAGACGAGAAGCCGATCCTCTAACAGTACCAAAACGACAAAGATACGGCCTCGTTAGTTGTCAAGGTGACGGGTCCTGACTCGAATTTTCTTGTGAACAGTTTGGTGGACCTAACGACCCGCAAGGGCAGAGACGCGGAGGTGACCAGGGAGCTCTTGAAGTTAAGCCGGCCTCGCCCGCAAACCATCAAACTCTTAAGGCGTCAAACCCTAAACCCCAGACCCTGAACCCTGAACCCTAGACCCTAAACCCAGCTCCAAGCCCTGCAAAATGCCGAAGCTCCTCTTAAGGTACTTCCTGGGGACTTACTCGGTGGATCCCTGTTTGCGAACGTCCATCGTGGGGAGACGCAGGGTAGACCGCACAACCCTTTGCTGCTCAGTTCCAGGGGTTGGTTTTAGGGTTTAGGGTTTAGGGTTTAGTTTTAGCGTTGTGAAGGTTTTCGGCTGTTGGGCTTTAGGATTCTGGGATTTCTGGGCTTCAATTATGCCACACTGTGCAAGGTCGCTGGCTGCGTCTGCGTTTGGATCCTCAGGGTGAGTGAAACCGTAAGACGTAAAAGACCCCTGAGCCTAAAGAATGACATATATCGGTACGAGTGTGGTGTTAATATGTTGAAATGAACAGCATCGTGCTTGCAGCACCGCACCCCCAATGCCTTAAGCCCGAAGACGAACACACATAAAGTCGAGTCTTTGCGAGAAGTAGTGATGAGTTGTACTATCTCGAGTCCATACATCTTTCACATCATAAATACCATCGTATACTTTCTACCCATAGGCCCCATAGTAGTTCCTTTTTTGGGATTACCTTATCGGGTTCTAAATATGAACCCCCAAAAGGAACTACTATGGGGCCTATGGGTAAGGCCCTCTTCCAATCATTACGGTCCGCGCAACTCGGCTCTCCGGTATGTGCTCAGCCTGCTATTCATGTTCCGGTAAGGATTTTTTTTTCCAAGGATCTCCCCCAGATACCTAGTATTTCGCCTTCCTTCTAGGAGGAGTAGGTCTCAGCTAACCAACATGCAAGCTTTCAATTGTTGGGCTCTTCCGGCAACCCTAAACCCAAAACCCTAAACCCTAAACCCCTAAACCCTAAACCCTAAACCCTATATTAAACTGGGGTTTAGGGTTTAGGGTTTAGGCCTTATCCTTAGAAGCCCTGTTAGCCAGCAACCTTCATTCTGCATGCCTTGGTACGTGTCTAGCAGCTTGACCTTATGATTACTTCCTTGGGGCACTGCTGGGGGACTATTTGAGCTATAAGTCGTGTACCCCTAGCCGGAAACGAAACCTAAACTCCCAATATCCTGATTTTGTGCGACTTAGTTCCAACACTAGCATGGTAGCGTCTGAAACCTGAAGAGGAGAGCGTCGTGGACGTTCTGAATGCGATAAACGTGGACTACTGTGCCCCTTGGGACATGTCGTAACCCCTAAGGGCTTACGGACTCACATGTCTGATTTGTTTTTATAACCCTCCTCTTCAATACTAGAATCTGTTTTTGGGGCTTGGGGTCTCGGGTTGAGGCTTATCCAGGTTATCTCTCCTAGTAGCTCCTCCCCTCCCAGTACTACCGTCAGGCTCTTCTCTTAGGTGTTTGAAGTGGGGGTTAGGGTTTAGCGTTTAGGTTTAGGTTAGGAAGAAGGGCCCCTGTTTGTTCAAGCGGGATTCTGCACCACTCCGAAGCCTGAAGTAGCGCAGTTTCTCTTACTCCCCTGGGTGAATTGGAGCTCGTGTAGTATGCATCTCATAAACCTAAACCCTAAACCCTAAACCCTAGACCGTCACTGAGGGATCTGACCCGAAAGTTCCTTCTTGTAATTCTTCTATATGGTATGTCCCCAAAGCTCTATTCTACTCATTTAGTCGTCTATATTTAGCGTCAGGTCCGCGCATACCTACGGCCATTCAAGACAGCGTCGCAAAGGCTGAACCTGGCACCGAAAACCCTATACCCTAAACATCCCTAA